TTCTGATTGCAGCGAGGGTGATATGCTCTCTATTTCAACGACTCAATTGACAGATGTTGGATTCTTGATTTTGGATGTTCTTATCACATCACACCAAATAGTTCGACATACAGGTTGGTTAATTATGGTCTGTTATTATTGGGTGATGATCGTTGTTGCATATTGTTGGTATTGGTGAGGTCAGAATTAAGATGTATGGCTCTGTTTAGACGTTGAGTAGTGTTTGGCATATCCCAGATTTGAAGAAATTTGATTTCTTTGGGGACTTTGCACAAGAATGGTTTTTATCCCTAAGGCTGATGAGGATAGGGAAACCATTCGGATTGTTAAAGGAGTTTTGACTGATGAAAGGAAATATGACTGCAGGGAAATATTTACAGATTGTTAGGGAGTACCGTTGTAGGTGGAGTTCATTCGATTGAGTCCTGTGATGATACTACCAAACTGTGGCATATGTGTCTTGCTCATCTTAGTGAACGGGTATGGCTGAGTTACATAAAAGAAATATGTTGCATTGTGTTAAAAGTTAGTTCAACTTTTGCAAGTATTGTGTTCTTCGTAAACAAACTAAATTTCTTTTCAAGACTGCAAGGTACACAACTGAAGGGATTCTTGATTATGTGCATTCTGATATATGGGGGCCTTCAACGACATCGTCTTTTGGTGGATCTCTGTATTATGTTACATTTTTGACGATTTTTCATGGAAAGTTTGTGTGTATTTTTTGAAACAAAAGGCTGATGTTTTTGAAATTTCAAGCTGTGGAAAGCTGAGGTAGAAAACCAAACAGGACAAAAAATCAAGTGTTTGCGGTCTAAAAATGGTATGGAGTACACAGATTCACAGTTTTCTATACTTCTGTAAGGAGCATGGGATTAAGAGCATTTTACAGTGCGCAAGACACCATAACAAAATGGCGTTACGGAACGGATGAACATGTCATTGAATGAATGAGCAAGATGTTTGCGGTTGAATACGGCCTTCCCAAACACTTCTGGGCTGAAGCTGTTAACACGGTGTGTTATCATATCAATAGATCACCAAGGGCATCATTGGCTGGGAAAGTTGCAGAAGACTATGGGGTCATGATGTTACTTTTGATCACTTACGGATTTTTGGTTGTCCTGCTTATGTACATTACCTGTTGATGAGAGATCCAAACTTGTTGCAAAATTGAAGGAGTGCATTTTTCTGGGTTGCAAGAAAGGTATAAAGGATTCAAGTTCTGGGATCCAGTTGCAAAAAAATTGTGATTAGTAAGATGTTGTTTTTGATGAACATTCCATGTTGCAGCAGAAAAAGACGACAGTGGTGGATTTCGAGCAGTTTCCAGTTGAGAAAACAGAAACTTCTCAACCGACTTCCGGTGGTTTCACTACAGATGATTTGTAGAATTATAGTCTCGCCAAAGATAGAGTGAGACAGACGAATATAAAGCCTCCAAACAGATTGGGTTTTGAATACTTGGTCTCTTTGGCACTTACTGTTAGCAGTGATGATCCGGTTACTTTTCATGATGCAGTTACTAGTCAGGAAAATAACAAGTGGATGGTTGCCATGGTCGAGGAGATGGAGTCTTTGAATCACAATTGTACATGGGAGTTAGTTCGTCTTCATTAGGGTAAGAAACTGATTGGTTGCAAATAGGTGTATAAGAAGAAACCAACAGTAATAGAAAAAGAGGGGAGAAATTCAAGGCTCGTTTGATAGCAAAGGGTTTTTCATAGAAGAAAAGAGTTGATTATGATGAAATTTTTTCTCATGTGGTCTGGCACACTTCAATCCGAGCAGTACTTGCATTGGTGGCTAGTTGGGATTTGCATTTAGAGCAGATGGATGTAAAAACTGCTTTTTTGCATGGTGATTTAGAGGAACAGATCTACATGCGACAGCCTGAAGGTTTCACTCAACCTGGAAACGAGCATTTAGTTTGCAGATTAAAGAAATCTTTGTATGGGTTAAAGTAGTCTCCGAGACAGTGGTACAAACAGTTTGACTCCTATATAATCAAGATTGGCTACAAGTGATGTGAGTATGATTGTTGTGTCTATGTTAAGAGCCTTGATGATGGTTCTTTTATTTTTATGTTATTGTACGTTGATGATATGTTAATTGCTGCGAAGAACATGGATGATGCTATCAGTTTGAAAACTTTATTGAGTCAGGAATTTGATATGAATGATTTAGGTGTTGCAAAGAAAATTCTTGGAATGGAAATTTGCAGGGATAAAGACTCGAGGAAACTGTGGCTATCTCAACGGGGTTATGTTGAGAAAATTCTAGAAAGGTTTACGATGAGTAGCGCAAAACCATATAGCACTCCATTGGTGAATCACTTTAAGCTCTCATCAGAACAGTGCCCTAAGATAGATAAAGAAGCTGAAGATATGGCAAAGGTTTCGTATTCTAATGCTGTTGGCTACTTGATGTATGCAATGTTATATACTCGTCCTGATTTAGCCCATGTTGTTAGTCAAGTTTGTAAGTACATGTCTAAACCTGGTAAGAAACATTGAGAAGAAGTCAAGTGGATCTTTCGATACTTAAAGGGTAATATGGGACATGGAATTGTCTTTTGTATTCAGTGGGATAATCCTTTGGTTGTAGGATATGTGGATTCAGACTATGCATGTGACTTGGATAATAGAAGATATATGACAAGGTATGTCTTTACTCTTGGTGGAGGGCCTATTTGTTGGAAGTCTACTGTTCAATCTGTTGTGGCACTGTCTACAACTGAAGCTGAATACATGGCAGCGGCTGAAGCTGCAAAAGAAGCTTTATGGCTTACTGGTCTAGTGAAGGAGTTGGGTGTTCAATAAGGTGGAGTTCAGTTACTTTGCGACAATCAAAGTACTATTCACTTGGCTAAGAATCAGGTATATCGTGCTAGAACTAAGCATATTGATGTACGTTTTCACAAGATCAGAGAGTTGGTTGCATCTGGAGAGATTCTGTTTCAGAAGGTACATAATGATGAGAATGCCGCTGATATGTTCACCAAGCCAGTTACTACAGACAAGTTCAAGCATTTCTTGGACTTGTTGAAAGTTTCGAGTTGTTAAAGAAGTAAGGTAACCCAACCCACATTGAATGTCTCCTAAGGGGGATGATATTCGCCAAGGTGGAGATTTGTTAGGTATGGCTCCTAATTGTTAATTTTATAATTATGTACCAAGTTTATCTATTATAAATAGAGATATAACCTAAACCTAAGAGACATTGAATAAAACTTCTAGCGCTGCTTAGGAACCGAGGACGTAAGCACATTACTGAACCTCATTAAAATTCTTGTGTTCTTTCATTTTTCTTTACCCGATTCATTAATAGAAATTAAAGCTATTTCCATATTCTCTGCGTGACCGAGCAAGAGATTGGTTGAGTGGTTTTCCAGCGGGTTCAATGGAGTCGTGGATTGGTCTATGCAAAAATTGTTTGCTGCGGTATAATCCTCCGAACATGAACACTAAAATGAGGAACGACATCGCTTCTTTTCGTCAGGCTGATGACGAATTGATGTATGAGTGCTGGGATTATTACAAAGGATTTCTTCGTAAATGTTTGAATCATGGTTTTCAAGATTAGACACAAGTGGTGATATTCTATAATGGAGTAAATGCACCCACGAGGATGATGCTAGATGCCTCGGTAAATGGGAAATTACTTGACAAATCACCAGCAGAGGCATTTGACATTCTGAATAGGATTGCCACCAACGATTATCAATTTCGATCCATAAGGCTTGGACTTGGGCGCAAATCACACGGAGCTTTCGAGCTAGACTCTAAGGATACAGTTTCCACCCAACTTGCTGCTATTACCAATATGTTGAAGAATTTGCAAAGGCCAAGCGAGGTGAGAGAAGTGAAGGGATCCAATTCAGCATGTTTATTATGCCACAGCAATCACAATGAGAGTGACTACCCGACCAATCAAGAATCCATCAATTATGTAGGCAATTTCAACCGAGGCAACAACAACCCCTATTCTAACACATATAATCCTGGATGGCGTTAACATCTAAACTTTTCGTGGGGAAATCAAGAAACCACAATGCTCATCAACCAGTTCGTAGCAGAATTTCAATGACTCCAGGGTTTTTAATCGAATATGCCTTGGCGTAATTCTTACAAGGAGGTCTATCTTCATCTAATACCAGTTCTTTTGGAGGATACAATGTAAGAGTTCATAGCAACAATGAAGACAATGCTGTAAGACCATGCGCGATATCCATCAAAAATCAAGGAGCCTTGTTTCAGAGCCACATTTTGTCACTGAGGGCGTTGGAGAGTCAGGTTGGTCAAATTGTCGCGACATTACAAGAACGAAGACCAGGACATCGAAGAAAAGTTTGGGGGAAGACAGAATGATAGTTCACCCCCTGTGACCGTGCAAGCTGATCAAGAAGTGCCGAAAGAAGTATCAGTATAAGAGGATAAGGATGAGGGTTCATCTAGTAAAATGACTGAGGAAAGACCCCCATCTTCGTTTCCGCAAAGACTGAAGAAGCATAACGAGGATATTCAATTCAAAAAGTTTGTTAACATTCTGAGTCAACTTCAAATCAATGTTCCTTTTCTGGAGGCTATGGAACAAATGCCTACATATGCTAAATTCCTTAAGGAAATTGTTACCAAGAAAAGAAAGGCTGAGTAGTACGAGACAATTACCACGAAAAAAGAATTTTGCTCTTCTTTAAGCAAGCTACCAAAGAGACATAATCCTGGCAGTTTTATCATCCCATGTTCGATAGGAGACAAATTTGTTGGGAAGGCACTATGTGGCCTTAGCTCAAGTGTGAACTTGATGCCTAAGTTAATTTTTCGTGAAGCTTGGGATAGGACATGTGAGACCCACATTTGTCATCTTGTAATTAGCCGATCGTTCACATGTTCGTCCCGAAGGGCGAATCGAATATGTCATTGTGCGGGTTAAAAAATTCAATTTTCCAGTTGATTTTATGATTCTGGACTGTGAGGTCGATGCCATAGCACCGATAATCTTGGGAAGACCATTTCTAGCTACCGGTCGTATTCTCATCGACTGCGAGAGGGGCGAGTTGACCATGAGAGTGGCCGACCAACATGTCACTGTGAATGTCTTCCGTTTCTCAAATACATGGATGATTCTGAAGAATGCCAGAGCATTATAGAAGTGGATACATTAATCACAAGAGAAACATGTTAATTTTGCCATGGCAATTTCATTCAGTTGGAAACTGATGAGGGGCTACTAGAAGACTTAAGGGCCGAAGAGCTTAATGATTTTTCGTCTGATGAACATCAGGCTAGCTTCCTCAAAGCTAGCCCAGGTACATGTTTTGAACCTTTGAATTTTGATGAGTTTGTACCTCCTAAGCCCTCATTACAGCATGCTCCTACCCTAGAACTTAAGAATTTGCCACAACATCTTAAATATACTTATCTGGTAGTAACGAAACTTTGCCTGTGATTATTTCCTCTACCCTTACTTCTAACCAAGAATCTAGTTTGTTAAGTGTTTTGTCACAGAATAAGGAAGTGTTAGAATGGATGATAGCAGATCTAAATGGAATAAGTCCAACAATCTGCATGCACAAAATCCTGCTGGAAGAATGGCATGGAAAATCCATAGAGCTGCAACGAATATTAAACCTAATCATGAAACAAGTTGTGATGAAAGAGATTCTCAAATGGCTTGACGCTGGAGTGATTTACCCCATTTTTTATAGTTCTTGGGTGAGCCCCTTCAATGTGTGCCAAAGAAGGAGGCACGACCGTGGTGACGAGTGAAGACAACGAGTTGTTACCTACACACACTGTCATCGGTGGCGAATCTGTATGGACTATCGCAAGCTCAACAAGGCCACCAAGAAGGATCACATTCCTTTGCCGTCTATCTATCAAATGCTGGATCGACTTGCTGGCAAGGCATATTATTGTTTCTTGGATGGTTACTTGGGGTATAATCAAATTGCCATTGAACCAAAGGACCAAGAGAAGACAATATTCACGTGCCCCTATGGCTTTTATGCTTTTCGAAGAATACCTTTTGGACTCTGTAATGCCTCGGTAACTTTTCAACGCTGCATGCAAGATATATTTTCAGACATGGTTGAGGATTTTCTGGATATTTTTCTGTTTCCGGTGATGACTTTTAAAAAATTCCTCAGCAATCTGACAAAGGTATTGAAGCGATGCGAGGAGGTCAATCTTGTGCTGAATTGGGAAAAATGTCACTTCATGGTGACCGAAGGCATTGTTCTAGGCCATAAATTTCTGTAAAGGGTATTGAGGTGGACAAAGCCAAGATCGAGAAGCTACCCCCGCCAACTTCTGTCAAGGGTATTTGGAGTTTCCTTGGACATGCTGGGTTTTATAGATGATTCATCAAGGACTTCTCCACGATATCCAAGCCCTTGTGCACCCTGCTTCAACAGAACCAGCCATTCGTGTTCGATCAGAAATACCATGGCGCATTCAATGAGCTGAAGTGAAGACTTATCTCTGCATCGATCGTGGTTCCCCCATATTAGACATCACCTTTCGAGTTAATGTGTGATGCAAGTGATTTTGTTGTGGGAGCTGTGCATGGACAACGTAAAGGTAAAATCTTTCATGTTATATTATGCTAGCCGTACCTTGAATGAGGCACAACTGAACTATACTACCACTGAGAAAGAAATACTTGCCGTGGTATTTGCATTTGACAAGTTTAGGCCATACTTGATAGGCACCAAATTCATAGTTCACATCGATCACTAAGCCATAAAATACTTAGTGAACAAGAAAGATGTCAAGCCTGGACTGATTAGGTGGATATTAATATTGCAGGAGTTCGACTTAGAGGTAATCGATAGGAAAGGTACTGAAAACCAGGTTGCATATCATTTATCTAGGCTAGAAAACATTTCAGAATGCCATGACATTTTTTATATTAAAGAAGAATTCCCTGATGAGAAAATTGTATATGCCACGACAATCCCGTAGTACGCTGACCTTGTTAATTTTCTTGTTAGTGGTGTTTTTCCTTATGAATTGAATAGTCAGGGTAAGAAGAATTTCTATCATTATGCTAAGTTCTATTTTTGGGATGAGTCGTACTTGTTTAAACAATGCACTGATCAAATGATTCAACGATGTGTCCCTGAAGAGGAGCAACGAGACATCTTATACCATTGCCACACGTCACCCTGTTGAGGGCATTTTAGATGTGCGAGGACTTCTGAAAAGGTCCTCCAATCAGGCTTCTATTGGCTATCACTGTTTAAGGATGCCCACGAGTTTTGCAGAGCATGCGATAGATGCCAGCACACTGGAAACATTTCCAGACGACACGAAATGCCACTGCAAAATATTTTGGAAATAGAGCTCTTTGACGTTTGGGGCATTGATTTCATGGGACCGTTTCCATCCTCCTTTGGAGACTTGTACATTTTGCTTGCGGTGGACTACGTATCTAAGTGGGTTGAAGCGATTGCTACACCGAGGAATGACTCTAAGACGGTGCTCAAGTTCCTTCAAAAGAATATTTTTACTTAATTTTGGGTACCAAGAGCCATCATCAGTGACGAGGGAACTCACTTTGATAAGAAGCTAATTGCCAAGGCATTACAAAAATATGGAGTGCGACATAAAATTGCCACGTCATATCACCCAAAAACAATGGGCAAGCTGAAGTGTCCAATCGTGAAATCAAGCAAATCCTCGATAAGTGGTGAACCCTAGAAGGAAAGACTAGTCCCCAAAATTAGACAAAGCACTCTGGGCGTACCGGACGACATTCAAAACACCTCTGGGAATGTCGGCTTACAAGATGGTATTTGGAAAAGCCTGTCACCTACCAGTGGAGTTAGAATATAAGGCATATTGGGCAATCAAGAAGTTGAACTTCAACACACAACTCACTGGGGAGAAAAGGTTGCTTGATCTGAAAGAATTGGAAGAGTTTCAAGAACAAGCATATGAAAATGCCAAGCTCTACAAAGAAAAGACTAAGAAGTGGCATGAAAAAATGCTTTTGCCATGACATTTTCATGTTGGACAGCAAGTGCTCTTATTTAACTCTAGGTTCAAGCTCTTCCCGGGCAAACTGAAGTCACGATGGGTCCATCTTTAAAGTCAATGGCCAACGTCTGAAGGCTTACCAAAGAGTCCCACCCATGCATGATAAGTTTGCACTCCTTTTGCACGATGTCGATAATGGCCAAGCATCTTGAGGACGCCGTGACATTTTATCTTTACTGTTGTGCATAAATAATTTTACCTTGCTATTATTTTATTATATCTTCTTTTTTAAGTAATTATTTTTATTTTATTTTGTTGCAAGAACTATCCACGTAGTTAGCACGTGAGGTGTACAGTGAAAGCAAATGAAATTTAAGCGGCAACGAGAACAGTAAAAGGAGGGAAACACTTTTCACTTTTTCAATGTTTACTTTTACATTAGAGTTAAAAATTTTCACTTTTCCTTTTAATTTTCTTCCCGCCCATACCCCACCATCTCATTTAATATTCCCCCCAAAATCTTTATTTTGTTCTTATCTATCCCACTTTTCAATTTACTTTTTTTACTTCACTTTTTTCACTTTACTTTCTTTCATCTTCTCCTTCCCTCATTTGCTGAAACCACCATAGCCACCAAAGCTCCAAGCGTTTTCACTCCTTATTTGTTTTGTACTATCATCATGGTGTGATCCCGTCCATCTTCCTCTGCTACTGCATCTTCGCCCCGCTTTGTGGATGAAGCCACCCGCGATCAGTTCCAAAACATCAAGAACCGACAAGTATTCTTCGAGTTGGGATTTTTCTTCTCTGAGGAGGAGGATACCGACTTAGGCAATGATGTACTCGACGTCGTCAACATGCACAAGTGGTAAAAATTTTCCAGGCACCCAGCTAACGTAAAGGCGTCGTTGGTGAAGGAATTCTACGCCAACATAACTGAGTCGAACCAACATGTCATTGTGGTTCGTGGTATTTCCATTCGACTTACTACCTCTGCTATTAATCGCTATTTTAAACTGCATGTTGTTAAAGATCGCCATACCACTTTCGCACAAGAAGCAGACAACGAAACATACCAAGGCATTCTGGAAGACCTTTGTCTTTCCGACACCCAATGGAATGACCAGCAATTGAGCTGTAGGACGATGGACCGAGAGAAGCTGCTTCCGCAAGTCAAGTTGTGGAATCACTTTATGAAGCACAAGCTTCTTCCCACCTCCCACAATACCACCCTTTCCTGTCAGTGGATGCTTCTCTTGCATTCAATTATTTTTGGGCATCCCATTGACGTAGGGAAAATCATTATAGAGCAAGCTCACTTATGCCTTAAGCGACCTGCAAGTGCCCTGGTATTCCCGAATCTCATCACGACTTTATGCCATAAAAAAAGGTGCATGAAGAACAGTTTGATGAGATTTTACCTGGCATTGCGAGTATTACCAATGCCAAAATCCTTATGTTATTGGACTTGAAGGAAGCCAAAGGAAATGAGAAGAAGGCAACCACGTCTCGCGTTACTGCAACTCCACATGCCAGGGAAAAACCAGATGCCCTTGAAGCGGCCATTCAGCGTACTCAAGAGCAAGTTGGATAGCTGTCCAACAAAATGATGACCTACTTTGCCTACGCCAAGCGCCGAGACGAGTTCCTCACTAACGCTTTCTTGGAGATTCTCCCGCATACCAATGTCAACATCCCTGTCTTCCCTGAAACGCTTGTGCCACCAACTGAGAATGTCGAAACATCTACAGATGTTCCCCATCCTGCCATTTACGATGCTCACAAATCAGCCAGTGAAGAAGTCACCCAACCCACTGAAGAAGATGAACCCGCTGACCCTGATTCATTCCATTCTGTGTTGCCCGTTGAAGATTGAGAAGCCAACCTCCAACTCGCACGTGGTCCAAAATCCCCACAATTTGTTGAACCCATGATGGCAGAACATCCTGACATGCCGCAACCTGACGCGCCAATGGAAGAAGAGCACCCTGAAGTAACGCAGCCCACCGAGTTAATGGAAGAAGAACAATCCGAGATGCCACGACAATTTCCTTTGCGAAGAAGTAGACGCTGACTAAAGAAGGCGTCTAAACACAAGGAGCCCCAATTCTCAACCGTCCTAGAAGGGCCCACTACTCCTCTAGTTGCACCAGCTTTTGACTTCGAACACTCCAGCCCTGCAAAACTGAGAAAGTTCACCCGTCGTGCGACCGCTGCACCACTACCTACATTAAGTCATGGTATCTTGCATTGCATTGCATTCATAGCATGTAGTTTCATTTTCCTTAGTTTTAGTAATCATTGAGGACATTGCTACTCTTAAGTTTGGGGGAGGTAGGGTTCTCAACACATTGCATGATAGTATTAGTAAAATAAATATGTCATGACATTAGTAAGTGTTTGAATAGTTTTCTAGAATTAGTTAAGGATGCCTGATGATGATGAATTCTTGATGGCTAGGATAGAATGTACATGACTGGTTGAGGATGATAGAACCAACTCTAGGACTTGCTTCTTTGAAACCTTTGAATACATGATTGTATGTTTTCTATGCTTAAGAAACTTAGATTTTTTATAAGAATTCTTAAATGTTGTGGCATAAAACTTTGAATGATGAAAACCCTACAAAAAAAAAGAAATGAATGAATGAATGAGTGAAACTATAATAAATGCCTCGACATATCTGTAGAGGGACACTCCGCTATACCATGGCATATGAGTGAATGAAAGTAGTCACGGGATGACTCTACCTGACTAGTTCGGGGTGGAAGGTATGCTCCCTTTCACCTAGAGTGTGGGATGGTAGAGTGATGGGCTGACTCCCCTCGTAGCAGAATTAATGAAAGAAAAGAAAACAAGGTGGGAGTAAACATTTGTAAATGTCATGGCAATTTAAGAAATCTTGCTTAGAAAACTTTTAGGTTTGTTAAGCATGGACTGGATACAAACACGTACGCACCCACACAAAGAATCTTACTCTAGGGGGCGGTACTTGAATTCTCAAACTAGTCGAGTATGTTGAAGCCAAATGTTGATGGCTAAAATTTTATCCCATATAACTATTCTGCTTCTGAACTTGTCATGGTATTTTTGTTTTGCTTGATACTATCCATTGCTTGAGGGCAAGAAATAGCTTAAGTTTGGGGGTGTGATAACTCCGTAAAAATGTCACAATTTGGGACCTTTTCACTTAAGTTATTGAATGTCTAAGAGCTCATTTAGGACCATGTAGATGCATTTAGGAGCATATCATTGCATGTAGTGGAATTCGATTTTCCGCGATATTTTATTTTTAAAAGGGTGCTACCTTATGGGAAAGGTGCTTGTCTAATGATGTGCAGGAATTAAGAGCAAGGAAAAGAGGAAAGGAAATGTCGTGGCATAAGGAGTCTGCTGAGTAGAATAAAAATGCCGAGTTGGATTGGCATTTTGAGAACGATCAAAGTGAAAGAAGATATTTTTGAAGCCAGTTGTCCCCTACTTTCACGAGACCTATGCTCGAGAAATCTGCCTCGAAGATCCTCTTGGAGGGATTAGCGCTGCTACAACTGATCCTACTGACCGCGCCACCTTCTTTGTAAATCTTGTCTATCCTTGAGCTTCTGCAGCGGGATTATGTCGGGTACTCAGCCAGCAACCCAGGCTAGATCATAGCCAGCTCTGCCCGATCTCCACGTGATTTAACCATGGTTTGGGGTATCCTAGGAATTTTAACACCAAGTCCTAGGGTTAATTTTCCCCTATAAATAGAGGATAAAGCCACAATGAATAAGACTTTGGTTCAACTCCATTTTGAGCTTAAATAGAGAGAGAAAAATACCTCTTATTTTTCTGTCAATCCTACTTGCCGTGGCATTTCTACGTGACAAGCCTGAGGGAGTGGCGTTCTAGGCGTCCGAGAGGAGCTAGTTCACTGGGGGCAGTTTGTGGTGGACGAGGGAAGCTCCGACAGTGCACGTCGAAGGTTTTTCCTCCTTCCCTTTGTTCTTTAGTTTCATATTTTATCATTTGGGTTGTAAGGAACGGATAAACTTGCTTTGTGCTTGCTTATTTCGAACCCCACCATGAACTAATCCTATTTGGTGGGAGTTCATTTTGGATGTTTAAGTTTTATTTCAATGAATGGTTGTTTTTCTATGCTTTAATCTGTTTTGTTTATGAAGCTTAGTGCCTTAAGGTTGTAGGAGCTACGAGAGTAGCCATTTCTTAGAAGATTATTAGGGTTCGAGAGAATACCTAGGTAACATATCCTCAGTGTTAGAGAGAAACTAGGGAGGAACCACATAACCAAGGGGTTCTAGATAGTAACTAGGCCTAATCCACTTTAGAGATAAGGCTAGGATTTCATTAGACTAAAAGGAGTTGTGCATGAACGATAGGTTAGATGTTAATACTGCCGTAAAAAGGTATTGCCGAGATATATCCTGTTATCTGGACTAATAAGATCACTGCAAGGGTTTACGCCAACCGGTTTTGCCAGGGCATCTTCAATCTGTCGTGTCCCTTACTAGAGATAGTATAAGGCACCCTAGTAGACTCTTTCGGGCAGACAAGGCATAAAAGTAAGACCATTCTAAGAACTAGACTTAGATTTTTCCTTAGTTACTCCTATCACTCGTTCCCACTTAGCTTGTCGTGTGAGAAATACAAAGTCATATTAATCAAATCCTCTATTTACTTTTTATTTTGCCTTGACATTTCCATTTGTTTGCACTACACACAATCCACTTTGCCAAGACATATCCATTTGATACCATACTACCACCATTCCATTTCCACAACATCCATCTCATTTTGCCACCGCATTCTCATTTGTACATACCATATTTCATACTCGTTGCCACGTTAGAGGAAATGTATGCTTTGTTATTATTGATGGAGGTAGTTGCACTAATGTTGCTAGTATCTTAATGGTATATACTTGTCTTGGAAACAACAAAGCATCTACAACCTTATAAACTGCAATGGCTCAACGATGGAGGAGAACAAGGTGATCAAGCAAGTTCGAATTGCTTTCTCCATTGGGAAGTACAAAGACGAGGTGTTATGTGATGTCGTTCCAATGCACACAAGCCATTTACTACTTAGAAGGC